AAAAAAAAAAAAAAAAAAAAAAAAAAAAAAAAAAAAAAAAAAAAAAAAAAAAAAAAAACGCTTCCCAAATGATGGTTGAAGACTGGTTCATTTTTTTCAAACTCCTAATGAAGCATGTTATTAAATTTCAATTGTCAATTATTAATACCATTCAAACATTCAAAGTTATCCTACATTGACACTTAAAGTAGGTAAGATCAATGGTGCCACCTCTTTTAAACAAAAAAAAAGGGAAAAAAAAACTACACACAAAAATAAAAATTTCATCATGCAGGCTTTGAAAGAGACTTCTTTTGCCTATATTTGATTTAATTCAAGTTACCTAAACAACTCTATATTTAAATATACGCAAAGCATCAATATTTGAAGCTGGTAATTTAATTTAATTTTTCATCTATTTTCAATAAACGGATGGTATAGACTTCTTATGATTAACTACTGTTCAACATCAGTTAGGTAAAAATATCGGAATCGTATACTTATACTTGTTACAAGGGCGGTAGCACCATAACTCTTGAAAAAACATCCGCATATTAAGTTTTTACAAATGAAGTTGGGGTCACCTTATTTGAGCAACGCGGCTTTGGAGCAATTGTTTTCATTTTTTTCTTCTTTCAATATTCAAAGCATTACTCTTATCTCACAACTTAGTGTCCAACTTTGTGCTCGTACAATAGTTATTTTTCTTTACTTTAATTTTTTTATTTAATCACAATTCAAGTAACTCCACGTAAGACATACGATTTTCGTTGAACAAAGCACACGCGTAGTACAAACACCGTTTTTGAGACATCATTGTATTATATATATATATACATATATATATGTATGTATGTATATATATATTGTAGAAATCTTAAAACCAATTTGAAAGGGATTTATTAGAATAATTGAGTACTTTGTATGTACATACATCACGTGTTTATGTATTAAAAAATAAACAACTTTCTGAGACTTGATACATGAATTCTATATATTATCATCTTAAAAATAAAAATTGTCAAAAACAATTTTTTTTTCAGACAATCATAAAAACTACTCTTTTAACGAAAAAAAAGTATCTTAATGCATGACTAACATTTCTTTAATATTAATTTTTTACATTTTTCCAGCACAATTAAGATGTTTTACTAGAAGAACATTCAATAAAAAAGTAATGTAAAATTATTAATGCTTAGACATTACGTAATTGTTAATCAGAATTAGGGAAGTTATAACCATTTTGTTAGTAATATAATTCCCTAACTACTGGTAGGTGATTTTAATGCATACAATGACTGATTTGTAATATTGAGTCTTTTATTAGAAACTTCATTAAAAAAATTCGTGTTATTAATTACAGGTGCTAATGATTCGAGGGTAAGACCCCGCAGTTCGATTGCAAGCTCACTTCTTTGATCATTGCAAAAGTAATTTACAGAGCAAGACGATTGGCAGTTTCGATAAGAAACGTGCACCATCTCTAGATATTCACAAAAAATTGGTCTCAATTAGTCATAAGCATCTGTTATTTTAATACATGTATTTAATAAATTATAAATTTGTCACTGTCTCAAATTTATTAACATGAAATTAACAAAAAGAAAAAGATGGAAGAATTAAGACTTTCTCGAATTTTTTTTTTATTTTTTTTTTTAACCCTTCGATGTGAAATCGTCGCCATTTCTCTTGTATAACAAACAACGTTTTTTTTGTTTTTTTTGTATGTACGTGTAAGTGTGTATGTGTGTAGTTTGTAAAACTGCGGTGTACACTTCTTTTCAAATCCTATACCCAGCCCTCACTTACAATGCTTAGAAACTTGCAACTTTTTGGGTTTTTTTTTCCTTTTCTCATTCTGATTATATTAAGAAAGTAAATAGTTGTTACTTTAATAAAAAGATGCTTTTGCTCCGCTGTCAAGTTACTGCTGGTTGAAAGTGTTGACTCTTTTTCTTATTCATTTTTTTTTTTTTTTTACCAATGATAAGGTGTCGATTGGCTAAGCAGGTATTGAGGTTGGTGTACTGTTCACATTGAACAAGATTATTTATCAAGGGCAGTGTTGGTTTTGATAGCAATAACCACTTCTTCATTGCAGGCCTTTAAGACTGTACACTGTGAAAAGAATAATTACTTGTAATACATTTGTGAACATAGGAATGTTGAGGAAAAAAAAAAAAAAAACTGATTTTAGTTTAAAAATACACTTGTAAGTACTTACAAGTAGTTCTTTGCCACTATCAAAGTCAGAACGGAGCTGAGTACCCAAATCACCATCTGGAATTTTGAGATCTTCCCGCAAATCTCCATTATCAGCCATTAAAGTCAAGTAGCCGTCATCTGATATGTCTGTCAGCTATATTAATATACAAAAATAAGATAACATGTGTTGAATTGACACAAGTATCAAATTGATGAGATAAACTTGTGCACACCATTCCTCACAGGAGTCTTAGTCTGTTTTTGCAAATAACAAACATGTTGAATCATGTAATAGAGGAGTGTGTAAATTTATTTAATTTATTTTTTATTTTTATTCTATATTAATACATGGGGAAAAATAATCCAGCACGTAATTATATTTACTATACTTAGTAAAAAAATCATAATAATAAATAAAAATGTGTGCCACTACCAATAATGAAATTTCCCTGAAGAGTTGTTTTTCCATTTTAATATAACAAATGGTACATCTCGGATTGATCCATATGGATTCATCCATACCAAATAAAATTGCTAATTTACCATACACATATCAATGGGATTCGTTGAAAAAGTCAACGGGGATTTGACTCGACGTGTCGGCTACCGTGATACATACATATATCTAATGAATAATAAATATATAAGACCGTCTGCACGTGGTTTCACTGTCTAGCGAAGATTTGCTCGATTCAGCATGAGTCGTCGTAGCAACTTCATTTTTATACATATTTATCACTATGATGTTAAATAATTTTTTTTATTGACATTAAACGTATACTTATATTATATATAACTTTTTACGTACAATTTAATTGTTGAGAATTTATTTATTGATTGCGAAATATTTCGTAATTTTACAATTCATTTTATGTTACAAGACGATTCGGTAAGTTTATTTGAAGCATTTTCTAGGTATTCTGAAAATCATTGGAAAGTTTGAATGTTTATTACTATTTTGCATTTTCGCTCTTTTACACTTAATGTTTAATATTCATTTAAACCAACTGTTATTATATTGCTTTAACATCCGCACTAAATAATGTATAAAAAAATTGTATTATTTATGAGCCCTACGTAATAGCATCGGATTTGGGAAGTGTTTTGCCAATAGCACTATTTCAAATTTTCGCGGGGCTCTGTCGGTAATCGACAACAAATTTTTTTAATACGATCGAACAAGGCTCATTATTTACCTTCGTTTTTTCAAAATTTTTTGTGTTTGTACTTACACCAATTATTTTACCGAATATGGGTCCTCGCTTAGAGATTATATAATTTCGCAATTTATTTTGCTTTTTTTCGCAATTAATTTTATCATATTTGACTTAATCGAAAAAAACGAGAATTTTTTACATCTGATTCAACAATAAAATAGCTATTTTGCAAATAGTTTTGTAAATCACTACTGCGGTTTTGAGAGACGATGATTTACCTAGATTTACCCATACTATGTATGTTCCTAAGTTCCCATCATGTACTTAAAAATAAGAACCACCCGTGCGTGCAGCGACGACAACTCCTTTTGTGGTTGGCTGCGCGTTCGCTATCGCCGCCGCCTCGTCCCAGGGCCCTATAGCTCCGAAACTGAACCTGTCGTCTTCATTCGACGACAACAATAAGCGCTGTCATGGTAAGTTTTTATCAGATCTTTGCATTACGTTGGAGCTCCGAAACTGTTATATTTTGAGATAGTCAAGTTGACGCGGGGATTACTCACCTACTATTTACCTTAGCTGTTCTTGAAGTTACCTGTAACAAGAAAAAAATGACTTAACCTACTTATGTCGTCGATCTGTCAAAATGGCGATTAAAAATATTTTAGAATAAATATAAAAATTGTCCCAAGCCTCGATAACTATTTTCGTGACAAATGCTAAAACTTTCTTTCATTTTTCCCTTGCAGACGGACCAACAAATGGACTGTGCGCTTGATCTCATGAGAAGGCTGCCACCTCAGCAGATCGAGAAAAACCTCAGTGATCTCATTGACTTGGTTCCACTGTTATGCGAGGATTTACTCTCGTCTGTCGATCAGCCTCTAAAAATAGCCAAGGACAAAGAGAGTGGCAAGGATTACCTACTCTGTGATTACAACAGAGATGGTGATTCATACAGGTAAAACATGATACACTTGTTGATTTGTATTTACAAATAACATGGCCGATTGATTGATTAATTAGTTTATTAATTAATTAATTAATCGATGGGCTTTCTCGTAGATCTCCATGGAGCAATACTTACGATCCTCCACTGGAAGATGGCTCGATGCCATCCGAGAGGCTAAGAAAGTTGGAGATTGATGCCAATCATGCGTTCGATCAATATCGTGAACTGTACTTTGAAGGTGGTGTGTCTTCTGTATATTTGTGGGATTTGGACCATGGTTTTGCAGGTGTTATATTAATTAAGAAAGCTGGAGACGGATCAAAGAAAATTAAAGGCTGTTGGGATTCTATACACGTTGTTGAAGTGCAGCACAAATCTACTAGCAGATATGCACACTATAAACTTACTTCCACTGCAATGTTGTGGTTACAAACTAATAAACATGGTTCAGGCACAATGAATTTAGGTGGGAGCCTCACGAGACAAGTATGTATTCACCATTTCTTTCACTTTTTAATATTATTCATTTATTACACTTAATTATTGTTATTTTTGTTTCTATACCAGGTGACGCAAGATGCTCTTGTTAGTGAAATATCACCTCACATTGCAAACATAGGACGCTTGGTAGAAGACATGGAAAACAAAATAAGAAATACATTAAATGAAATATACTTTGGAAAGACCAAAGACATTGTAAATGGCTTGAGATCGGTTCAACCTCTAGCTGATCAGAGGCAGCAGGCCGCTCTGAGACAAGATCTAGCTGCTGCATTACAGAGGCGAAATGCTAACAATTGATCTCCAGAAGAACCCGAGAACTTTGATTACGATTGTGATTAGAAAAAAAAAAAAAGAAAAAAAAAGAAAAAGTAAAATAAGATACAAATCGAGAACGACTTGCGTCTTTGCACATTAAATCGCTAAACTTTGTTATTACGTTTAGAGATAAAGGAGATATGGAGTTATATTGTTGAGCGACTGAAGATGCTCATTTATCGGTCATTTCATGAAAAAATAAATAAAATACATCTGCAAGTACTGAATTTAACGTTTAAGCGTCGAAGAGTAGCTAGCTGATGCATTTCTACTAATAAAACGCATTTTGTTACAAAATTCCTCACAGGAGTCTTAGTCTGTTTTTGCAAATAACAAACATGTTGAATCATGTAATAGAGTAAACATATGACGCTTGCTTTTTTTGTTTTAATTTTCCATTATGAGTACAACTTTTTGCTTCAGAAGTCTCATAAACTTACTTTGAAAGTTTTAACGCATTTACAAACTTGAAATGTATTCTTTTGATTTATTATAAAATAAGAAAAAACACTTGTAAAAAAATGCTTTTAGATATATTTATGCAAAAATGTTTGTTAGTTTTTTTTACAACTGTATTAAAAACATACGACCTGGGGAAAAAATATATCTATAATTACGTAAATATTATATACATTTTTCCTAGGATGTAAATTAATAATAATTATGAACCATAATTTTTTTTTTTCATATTGATTTCAGTGCGTTTTATTTATTATAAAGAAGTTAATTATAAATAAAATTTAAAACTTTACATAAATTTTTCCAATTTTTTATTTGCTTTAATCAAACATTGCAGTTATTTTTCACTTATTCAATAAAAATTGTTTCAAATCCATGAAAAAAAAAAAAAAAAAAAACGCTTCCCAAATGATGGTTGAAGACTGGTTCATTTTTTTCAAACTCCTAATGAAGCATGTTATTAAATTTCAATTGTCAATTATTAATACCATTCAAACATTCAAAGTTATCCTACATTGACACTTAAAGTAGGTAAGATCAATGGTGCCACCTCTTTTAAACAAAAAAAAAGGGAAAAAAAAACTACACACAAAAATAAAAATTTCATCATGCAGGCTTTGAAAGAGACTTCTTTTGCCTATATTTGATTTAATTCAAGTTACCTAAACAACTCTATATTTAAATATACGCAAAGCATCAATATTTGAAGCTGGTAATTTAATTTAATTTTTCATCTATTTTCAATAAACGGATGGTATAGACTTCTTATGATTAACTACTGTTCAACATCAGTTAGGTAAAAATATCGGAATCGTATACTTATACTTGTTACAAGGGCGGTAGCACCATAACTCTTGAAAAAACATCCGCATATTAAGTTTTTACAAATGAAGTTGGGGTCACCTTATTTGAGCAACGCGGCTTTGGAGCAATTGTTTTCATTTTTTTCTTCTTTCAATATTCAAAGCATTACTCTTATCTCACAACTTAGTGTCCAACTTTGTGCTCGTACAATAGTTATTTTTCTTTACTTTAATTTTTTTATTTAATCACAATTCAAGTAACTCCACGTAAGACATACGATTTTCGTTGAACAAAGCACACGCGTAGTACAAACACCGTTTTTGAGACATCATTGTATTATATATATATATACATATATATATGTATGTATGTATATATATATTGTAGAAATCTTAAAACCAATTTGAAAGGGATTTATTAGAATAATTGAGTACTTTGTATGTACATACATCACGTGTTTATGTATTAAAAAATAAACAACTTTCTGAGACTTGATACATGAATTCTATATATTATCATCTTAAAAATAAAAATTGTCAAAAACAATTTTTTTTTCAGACAATCATAAAAACTACTCTTTTAACGAAAAAAAAGTATCTTAATGCATGACTAACATTTCTTTAATATTAATTTTTTACATTTTTCCAGCACAATTAAGATGTTTTACTAGAAGAACATTCAATAAAAAAGTAATGTAAAATTATTAATGCTTAGACATTACGTAATTGTTAATCAGAATTAGGGAAGTTATAACCATTTTGTTAGTAATATAATTCCCTAACTACTGGTAGGTGATTTTAATGCATACAATGACTGATTTGTAATATTGAGTCTTTTATTAGAAACTTCATTAAAAAAATTCGTGTTATTAATTACAGGTGCTAATGATTCGAGGGTAAGACCCCGCAGTTCGATTGCAAGCTCACTTCTTTGATCATTGCAAAAGTAATTTACAGAGCAAGACGATTGGCAGTTTCGATAAGAAACGTGCACCATCTCTAGATATTCACAAAAAATTGGTCTCAATTAGTCATAAGCATCTGTTATTTTAATACATGTATTTAATAAATTATAAATTTGTCACTGTCTCAAATTTATTAACATGAAATTAACAAAAAGAAAAAGATGGAAGAATTAAGACTTTCTCGAATTTTTTTTTTATTTTTTTTTTTAACCCTTCGATGTGAAATCGTCGCCATTTCTCTTGTATAACAAACAACGTTTTTTTTGTTTTTTTTGTATGTACGTGTAAGTGTGTATGTGTGTAGTTTGTAAAACTGCGGTGTACACTTCTTTTCAAATCCTATACCCAGCCCTCACTTACAATGCTTAGAAACTTGCAACTTTTTGGGTTTTTTTTTCCTTTTCTCATTCTGATTATATTAAGAAAGTAAATAGTTGTTACTTTAATAAAAAGATGCTTTTGCTCCGCTGTCAAGTTACTGCTGGTTGAAAGTGTTGACTCTTTTTCTTATTCATTTTTTTTTTTTTTTTACCAATGATAAGGTGTCGATTGGCTAAGCAGGTATTGAGGTTGGTGTACTGTTCACATTGAACAAGATTATTTATCAAGGGCAGTGTTGGTTTTGATAGCAATAACCACTTCTTCATTGCAGGCCTTTAAGACTGTACACTGTGAAAAGAATAATTACTTGTAATACATTTGTGAACATAGGAATGTTGAGGAAAAAAAAAAAAAAAACTGATTTTAGTTTAAAAATACACTTGTAAGTACTTACAAGTAGTTCTTTGCCACTATCAAAGTCAGAACGGAGCTGAGTACCCAAATCACCATCTGGAATTTTGAGATCTTCCCGCAAATCTCCATTATCAGCCATTAAAGTCAAGTAGCCGTCATCTGATATGTCTGTCAGCTATATTAATATACAAAAATAAGATAACATGTGTTGAATTGACACAAGTATCAAATTGATGAGATAAACTTGTGCACACCTGATAGTCCTCTCTCTTGACATGGGGCACATCCATGTTGTGTGTGGAAGGACAAATATCCTCGTACTTTTTAGAATTAAATATATCTATACCAACAAGATGAACCTTGGCGTGGCCATGCTTTCCAGTCTTGGATGTAGACATTTCAACAATCTTGCATGGTCTACTTTTTAACATAACAAAACCATTTTTGCGCAGTGCTGAACACTGCATTGGGTATGTAGCTGAAGCTCCGGAGTCTCCAGTTTCGAAGTGAGTATCCTCGATGTCTGCCATGTTTGATTGTAGTTACTCTGTAGGGGAAAAAAAAAGTTTACAATTAGCTAGGCAAAAAAAAATCAGAACATAACAACATCATCCAGGTTAGACTCCCTAGCATCATGAGTTATAACTAATCGAACTGCAAGGTTAGCACATTTCACGGCGCTACTTAAAGGTAATCATGAGAGTTCAATGTAAATAGAACGAGCGACGCAAGAAAGCAACAAATGAAAAAATTTTTTTTTAAATGAAGTGAACACGTAAGTAACGAAATAAAGAAAAATAAGGCAAACCGAGGGATGGCGCATTGCCCAGCTCCCGGAACTCAAATCCGCAGTCAAAACCGATCTGACGGGGGTGCCGCGGGTCAAACCAAGTGACCATGTGGTAGACACGCAGCGAAAAAGCCCGGGGTGGCCAACATCGAATTCTACGGCTGTATCGGAGGCCCAGAACCGGGTGTGCGACAGACACACAAGTGAACACGGGCTTGCGGAATGAGCGTCGCGAGAGTCATTGTTGAGGAAACACCTTATGGTAGAACGGAATTCAAATGTTCTCTGGTGAGAAGTAGGTACAGTACCCTGGGAGCTATGATGGTGCAGCTGTAGGACGAGGCCCGGATCGCTCGAGGAAACACGCAACCAAAAGTTAACCAAACAATTTTCGAGCACACTACGCACGGCGGCGTGTTTCCTCCTCGCTATAACGCACTCTCTCTCTCTCTCTTTCTCGCTACTATGCTGGCTCACTCACAGAAGAAATACATAGGTAGAGAGATGAGCAATGCAACGAGCATGCGAGCGAGCGGAAAGAAAAACACAGCTGTGTGGGTTGTACGAGAGCGCGGGTCTTTTTTTGGGGACACGAAGACGTGACCGGAAACCCGCTGATCGTGAAGCATGCACCAGGAGTCGTTGAACCCAGGTAGGTTTTGCCGCAAGAGTTAATAAACGTACAATACACAAGCGAGCAGCAGGCAGACCTGAGACCGCGCTCTCTGCGCCGAAGCATAAGCGCGACGTCGACGACCGGCGTGGTCATTTAAAGTAGATAAGTAGTTAGCATATAGGGTGCTCGTACGCTCGAGCTGGCTGTATATTACACGCGCACTGGGAGTCCGTCTCGAGGAGTCTGGGAGGATATCGGTAACCTACGAGTAAGCTTACTTGGATATCCTGGTGGAAACTCGCACAAGGTAGCACTCAGCACGAAGGTACTCACGTGTGATCAAAATGGATACTCTCTAACCAGACGAGCCAAGAGCTCGCCGTCGGCTCGAGACTCTCGAGTCGAGTTTGCTTGGCGCATGCGCCCGTTCTACAAAACCAAAGCGCGGGTTATACGAAAATACACCTGTTTACTTGATGCACGCGTATCATGTGTAAACGCCATGTAAACGTGTTATCGAAAAAGATGATTGGTAAGTACTTACTTGATATATTAAATAGACAAAAAGTATTCCAAGTATCGTTGAGGATGGTCAAAAGGACTATTCCCGGTTCTTATGATCTATTGGAAACACTACAGTTAAAATATATTATGCTCTGTTTTTTTTTTTTTTTAATGATCATTGTCTCCAAAATAAGTCGTTTTCATATACATAAATATATTCTAATTCAATTTAGTGCGGCAACACTTGGGTTTGCCAAGTATCTGCTCTGCCGACTGTGTCGTAATCCATTTCATTGTGTTGTGACTTTTGATCATAAAATTTCTACGTAAATTTTTTTAAAACTACTGCTCCAGATAGACAATTACGAAACAATCAGGTGAATCAGTTGGTCATGTCAAATAATACTTACGTATGCTACCTATCTGGTTGGGCTCGCTCGATAAAAAAAAAGGAATCTTGACTGTGTCCTATCGTGACGCATACCGTTAACAATGCAGACAGTTTTCCATTCTTTTTTTCTTTTAACATTATGGAATTATAATATAGATTTTATGTCAATATTTTTATATCACACAAAGTCGAGTACATTGGTTAGTTGGTAAAGAAACTTATTATTTAAAATTACGAGCGCAGAGGATCGGTTTGGAATATGGGACATGTAATATATATATGTGTGATGAAAACTGGGGGAACAAACCAAACGTTTGGAACGTTTTGGGATTCTAACCTAATTATAAGAAGTAAATATGTATGCTTGAAAAATCTGTTAAATTGCGAACACTTGTTTATATTTATAAGTATATCAACCAGAATCAGCTACTGCGAAGATGTCGGTGGTGGACGCAGTCGTAGAGCCAAAGCTTCTTCCGTGCAGCTTTCAATTTCACAGCTTTCACGATAAACTGAACGAGGTTAGCATTGACTGTCAAATTGTTAAAATGGAAAAAAGTTTATATCTGTGGATCGGTGATCACAATGATCAAAGCATGAAAGACTTGGCTCTGGCCATCTCCTTAGTAAATAACGACAAAAAATCCACAGTATCCACGAAAATTCTTGGACCTATAGCCGATGAGTTGTCCTCCAACATAGCCAGCCGGTTATCCAAAAAAACAGGCAAGCCTGTTTATGTTAGTTTTAACTTGAACGTCGACAATCTTACCTTGCCTCTTGTGGAAAGGAGAATCCATCAGGAGTTGAAAGATAATGCCCAGCTACTGGATATTTAGCACCTATTATTTATTTCACATTTTACATCAATGTATATACAAAGTAACAGCTACTAATCCGTGATAATTTTTTTTACTACTACCTATTTTCTTTAAAAAAAACGTACAAATAAAAACATTGTTTACTTTTTAACATAAATTGCATTTTTTATCAGTTCGTTTACTTTAATTTTCATGATTTCAGTGCTGTACCTTCAACAACATTTTAATCAACACATAATAAGGATAAGTGCAATTTCATTCGTTATTTAGATGTAAAAATACTATTTGTTTAATTTTGGTTCTCTTAAATCTCAAATTTAATTCAACCAACGTGTAAGCAAAAAAAAAATTTCTTCAAGATTGAAAAAGTGTTTGTTTATGTTGTGTTGGTTTGATGAATAGTTAATCTTTTCCTAAAGTTATTAAAACAAAAGAAAAAAGAAAAAAAATCAGTTCAAGTCTATTTTAAAAGAATTCATGACTCAGTTTTTGCACTGTCTCGAATTTCATTCATGACTGAGCAAAGTCTTATCAAGAAAAATTCGTTTTATTTTGATTCTTGGAATCAAACAGTTTATCTCTTTCACTGTGGCCAATGTATTATTCCTACTCTTTTTCAGTGCTGTAAACAGTGTAGTTGTCATTCAATCGACCAGTACCTTTGGCATCGTGCAGCCAAGGATATTTTTCGGGGCACTCTCTGCAGGTTTCCATGTACCTATATACACATACAATATAGACAATGTTTCAGTTTGTTAATGTTTTCTCCATCTGAATTGTGAAATAGAGTTAAGTAAAGGCAGTGTCTAGGTACACCCAACCGTGTACCGTGCACCGTGTATTGTACACGTGATAGACGGTAAAACCGTGCGCCGTGTACCGTGCGCCTGGTGCGCCGTGGTTGGGTGTACCTAGACACTGCCTTAAGTAAATCGATGGCATATGTACCTTGTTGTTGTGAAATTTGCATCAGCTGGTTTGAAGTCCAAGGCACATTTGTTTGGATAGTTGCATGATGGTTCGGGAAGGTTTTCTGTTTTCTTGCATGCCCAGCCATCAAAGTTGCTCAGTGCATTGATTGGCTTTGGATCTGTCATCCAATTCAGAGCTTGTGTAGCCGTGACGAAGTAAACGTCAGGTCTGTACAATATTGATTAAAACGTAATTAGTTTGTGGAAAAAAAAAAAAAGAAAAAAAAAAGGAAAAATTCGTGAGTGGCTCACAGCGTCGTCACCCAATCCAAGAATTTGGCCAAGCCGTTTTCGAGCTCTTTGATTTGGAACCAATTGGTGTGGAAGGGCATCATGTAAGGCGCGCGGTTCTGATCGTAATAGCGGCTAAAGTCCTCCTGCAGCCACTCGAAAACTTCCTGGGCATCGTGGCTGTGAAGCACGCACTGGTCCAAGTACGGGCAATGACCGCCCTCGTAAGTTTCGATGTAGTGAGTGTTCAAAGGCAATTCCCAAACACCTGAAAATTTCATAGAAAAAAATAACAACAAAAACGTCAATTGATTACTCAAAGAATTACTCACGACAATTATTATCATTTTTTCCCCACAATACCTACCTGGGAAAGATTTCGTGGGGCAAGTTCCAGCCTTGCATTCGTGCGGCACTTTATAATCAAGCGTGTAAGGCCAAATGGGTGTTTTGACCGGTGAAACGCCGATACTGCTGTCGTATATGAAACCATAGTCCTCCATAACTTTGTACTGGGTGTTACGACCTGGTTTCAAATACGGCGCGCGCATTCCGACAATGTCGTTGCGCGACACGTTGCTGAAGTGCTTCAATATCTCGCGCATGCCGATCATTTCCGTCACCCAGTCGTCGTAGCTCTTGTCTTCCAATCCTTTTTGCAACCTACAATTTATATTACAAAATTTAATTTACGCTCAATCGTATCCGTGTCTCCCAAAACATCATAAAATTGTATGCTGCGAATCGTTTTTTTTTTTTTTTTTTTTTTTTTTTTTTTTGTTGTAAAAAGTGAAACACAAAAGCGATCGCGCGTGAATGAATCGAACGCTGCTCACGAGATGGTTTCTGCGGCGATTTCGTGTCCATCGTGAGCGAAGCTCTGCACCATATTGTAGTTGCAGTACTCGTGGGAAATGAAGAAGGTCCCCTTGAGCGGGCAATTGTTCGGATTGCGCCGGTCCGAGTTGAATATTTTTTGATAATGATCGAAGTTGTTGTGGTTTATCGCCCCATCGAACGTCATTAGAATCATTTGTGGCGTCTGAAAGGCAGGAAAAATCAAAATTTTACTCAGGTTTCGCGATAATATACTCCATGGCTGATTCGAAGTTCCTAGTTGTTGTAAAAAAAAAAAAAAAAAAAAAAAAAAAAAGATCCACACACTTGGGTCCCCGTACATTGTATAGTCCTTGTCAAAAGGGTGCTTTTGTTCATTCAGGTAAATCGCGATGAGCTTGTAATTATTAACAAAACTGGTGAGTTAATCAACCAAAGTATTCTGGCATAAAAAAAAAGTTTAAGCCAATTTAACTTTTATTCAATGCCCAACAGTTATTTCCATACGTGAGAAGATTTTTCGAGGACCCGTAAGTGTCGATCGTGTAACTCTTTGCTCCGGATCAGCTAGATCTTTTTCGCAGCTTCACTTACTTCCTGAGGCCTCAAGCCGCCGGGTATAATGGTGCCGTCTCGAGAGCAAAAACAATAGGGAAGTATGCATTGCGACGTGTCGCAGCGCTGGGCGAGATTCGTAGGCGCCTCCGTCGATGGCGCTGGCGCTAAAACATCATTGTAACAATATACACAATACCTATTATATAATAATAATAAATTAGGTCAACCAACTGGTATCATATAGGTAAAACAACACTTAAAACGATGCGAAAGGATGAAAAAAAAAAAAAAAATATGTGATTGTCGTACTTGTTGCAATGGGGCCGCATCGGGCTTCGTTCTTGAAGGTGCAAAATTTGCTGATGTCGTCAAAGTACAAGCCGGACGGGCATCGATTCAAGTAAGGATAGTTGTCGACGCACTACGCGGGTATCATAAACAATCGTGAGTTAGTACATCGCTCGTAAATCCAGCAAATGATCTACGTCTAAGGGATACCTGATAAAATCTCCTGCAAGTCGCGGGATCGGCAAAGTTCCCGTTTCCCTGGCCTTCGGGGCACTTGAATTCCTCGTCCTTCTTGTGCTCCTGCTGCGACTGCTGCTGCTGTTGATTTCGATTGCTCTGACCCTTGACTGGAAATGGAAAAAATCAATCAGTCTCAAGGAGACGAGCGAAGTTTACCGCGTTTCCATCATATACGTGGGTAATATATTATTATTGCTTTTGCCGGCTGCTTTTAAGCAAATTTTGTGCAAGGTTCACGCAACCGGTTAGGTATTTTGTACAAATCGTCAACAAATCAACTTTCTCTCCAAATTATTATTATTATTATTTTTTTCCGTTAAACGTATAAATGTATATTTGTATGGAAATCATCTGGTGACGAATGAGACGCACAGTTAATTTTTCGGTAATGCTTGACCGGTAGTACTAGTATATATTATATACATACGTTTTGTGATTCCGCGAACGGATGAAAGTATGCACATAATATAGGTACTACGTGCCGATTGCACAAAAGTTTTTCAGAAAGGAGGGAATCGTTGATATACGTGTACATACATAATTATACCTATGGCAATGATGGTAATTATGTGGGATTGCACAACGTTCTGCTTGCCGTTGATTAAGTTCACGTAATATTGAAATAGCCGATGGTTGTAACGCGCGCGTGGCATCAACAAACTATGTAAACAGCAATTATTCTGAATTTGTAGTCAAGAGTACTTTCTGCTTTTCTTACTTTTTCCAACTACATAATTTAAAAAAAGGCATGTTACACACGTTGATATTTTTATGGTAAGGACATCCATCAGTTTACGACGCTCGTTTGATATAATCTCGACCTTGCAAAGTACAACATAAAAATCCTATCCAGAGGTCGTATATGCAATAAATAATGGGCGCAATATACCAGACGTTGGAGGTGCTACCGGAAAACCGGTACGAGAAATTCGATCGAAAGAAAAAAAAAAAAAAAAAAAAAAAACCGACACCGGGAAAAATAAAATTAAAAGCCATAAATACCTATAGGCGCGCTCTGATGAAATTTACTCGCGTAATAGGCCATTTTATAATTGATTTCAAAAAACTTGTAAGTATAAAATACAGCTTCGGGCTCTTAGCATGTGTGTGTGCGCGTGTATGTATAAATAATTCCGGATTTCTCGAATCATCGAGTGAAAGTTGAAAAAAATGTCGTTCAAAAACAATTTGGATGAAAATAATGCGCAGCTCCGATCGAGGCCATTACGTATATATTTTTGTATTGTACGAACAGTATTGGTATTAGGAGTGCATATGTTTATATTTATACTGCGTGTGCTGTGAACTAATGGCCAAAATTGCGTGTCATTTCACCGACTTCGCCTAATAATACTTAACAAGATCATACACAATGAAAGAAAGTAAGCGTGCCATTCGCCCGCGCATATTTTGCCCTAATGCGTAAAACTTTCTTTATACACGATTGTTTGCCGTGCTCCAATTGTTATTGCTATATTATTGTGCACCGCGTATACCCGTACCAAGTGCAATAGGTGCACGAAAAAATGGACTTTATATGCTTTGGCAATATGTAACATGGAGAAAATAAAAAGGGCAAATCAGTCCGCGAGCTGTGTACGAACCGAAAAGACAAACAGGAGGATTAGCGTCGCGCGATGGTTACGCACAATGTGGTGCAGGTGTAAATCAAACTGTAACAGTAAAGTGGAAAGTGAAGGTGCATGTATCAGCGACGGCAGTACAAATGCGCGCGTGATAATAGTACATACATACATACATATATACCTATAGTTGAGCTTGAAAACACATACACATGTACCTACTTATTTAGCTGCAAAAAGCCTTTGTATAGGTAGGTACATATGTTATTTACACTCGATTCTTAATGTGTAGCTACGGTGTATTTATTGGTTTCGGTACCCTAATAATAATATATATATATACAACCGGGAATCCCCGGGTATTTCTGTCTTTTTCTATTTTATTCGTGTAATATGCATTAAACGTATACACGTGCGTACATATACGAATGATTCTACGAAGAACAAATGGACAAATATTTTTCTCCCCAACTTTTTTTCCAGAGATTTTTGAATGGTCGACAATTTTTGGGGGTGTCGTACACCATTATTTTCAGTCCTTTTTCTCTTAGGGTTTTATTTTTCCGTTCATTTTTTGGATAATTTTTTGCCCAACCCCACCGATTTTTTGTGAAAAGTTACAAAGAGCTATAAAAATGATAAAACGACATCACCAATGAGCCTTGAACAAATATTTTAATTTACTTTGTTACATTCCTTGGCAAAAAAATAAACATCTCTTTGACCCACGTTGTCTCGAAATATTATACTTTTTGCCCGTCCCGAAAGTACATGGCACATTTTATACGGAACTGCTCGTATACATGTGCCTACAAACACCCAAAAAGGAAAGTGCCCATAAAATCTGTATACGTTCCGTTGCCAGCTATTATCACTAAACATAAATTTTACCCACACAATCGATACATGGGAAATTCATTTCAACCCACCGTCAAACGATACCGTAATATATTATATTTGTACATCCAAACTTTTGAATAAAATAAACACGTATAATAAACACACACATTGCCGATCTAAACCGATCCGAAGAGCGGCGGACTAACGCAAAAAAAGTTGTACGGGTACACACATATACATATATTATGCACCACACGGCGTGCACTTTCACGCTAAGACACTTTTACTAAGTACTGCCGATTTTCTGCACGACGCGCCTCGGGTGTTGTTACAAAAACGATAGGACAAAATATACACGTATGTTTATAGGGACCCAAAGGGTTGGTACTGTTTTGCTTGTATGGAATTTGGTATCAAATTTTCTCGATCCTTCTCTCGTCGGACAATAACTCTCTGGACTCGAGAAAAGAAAAGAAAAATAGATGGCAACAAAAAAAAAAGAAATGAAAATGAAACGCAAACCAAAACTCACCTGAAAGGACGAGAACAGCAACGGCGCCGACGAGGTAGGCGAGGAACCGGATTCTCGACATAGCGGTGCGGACCGTAATGTAACTAGGCCTACAGCAGTAGGGAACTCCTTTCCAGGAGACGAGCGCTACTGCTGCCGTACCGATAATGTGCTTAACCGAGGAATAACCGATTTTCCAACAGGTGCACCTATACTCGGTATAATATGTATAACCCGAGGAAATAAAAAAAAAGGATATGCGTATTCGTGGAATCGAGGGAGATACAATACTTATCACGCGCGCGAGGAGCTTTTGTAATTTTCGCAATGGATACGTTGCTGCTGGATACGAGAACCAGCAGTTGCGCACTGCGGCTTTTGTGAGTTCCATTGCCGAGGGGACCCGCGCGGCTCCTTCCATTTCTTCTTTTTTTTTTTTTTTTTTTTTTTTTTTTTTTTTTTTCTTTTTTTCTTTTTGTGCCGCTGCCACCACCTCCTCTTTCCTGGCGGGTCCGAGGCCTCGGCCACCCATTGGCTGACCACTTTCTTCTTCTCACCGAGGCAGCGCTATTATTATACCTACACGCGAGCTCGACTCCCGAAAGCTTCTCTCATCTCGCGATTAGAGATCGGTTGGCTTTTTTTTTTTCCTTTTTCCGGACCCAGGGATCCGGATTTTTCGAAGCGTATGGGTTCGCTGGCCTCTTAGTGGCGTGTAGGGCCTTGTCGAGCCGAAGGGACTGCTCGGACCCGTTTCGCTGCAGTTCCATCAAAGTTTTTTTTTTTTTCTGTTTAAGAGCCGTATATGTACGGAAATAAATTTGTGTGAACGGGTATAATAAATTAAATAAATTGAAGAACAAAAAAAAACCGATCGCAAATCGGTTGAAATCGTTATCGGTATGTATCGATTTTATTTTTAGTTCACCTCTTTAGAACTCTGAAAAATTCGATTTTTTTTATCTGAATATCGATGGACCGGTCGAGTCTTGGTTATTTTTTTTTTTTTTTTTTTTTTCCAAGTAATGGTCGATTTGACTCTATTTCTCATGAAGCAAATCGATCAAGGACGATTTTGATAAAAACGTTAATTCATACTAATAATTTTTTTTATTTTCCTCTTGCAAGAAAATTATCTCGATAATGATAATTTCTTTTTGTTTTTAATGCCCAATTAAGAGACTGGTGGGCATGAGGAAATATTTTTAACATCCACTCAAATCGCACGGACGACATCAAAATAGTTTTTAGATTTTTGGGCCTCAAAATCATTCGATCGCAAGTTTTTATCCGATACATTTCTCAAATATTATACTTATTCCATGTGAAATTGTAAAATGACTCGTAAAAGTATAATTCGTTCGAGCTTGGTTTCGAATTTCGTTTCGCTTGCATTTATTTCAATCACCATTGAGTAGTAAATTGTTGAAAATTCGGTCTTTACACGTGTGTAGAGGTAATAAAAAAATTAACTCAAGTTCAATGGTCTTTACGAAAATTTATTCTCATAAAAATCAACTTGCACTAGAAGTTACCCAGTTTATATAATTCATCATTTATCAAATAAAAAAAAAAGACTTTTTGCGGCATTCGTTCAAACTATATTACCAGCTCTCGGTAACTTTAAAATTATCCTGCCCTACCGGCTACCACTGACTTTATATTGTTGCAATTTTATATACTTTGCGATATATGAATTTATAATTTAGGCACCCATTTCAAATTTTTCAATTATTACTCTACAAACAAATAAGTATATATATATTTTTTATCAATCGATACGTTTTTGTTGTTATCCTTCAAGTGATACAATAAGCTAGCCCACATGTATAGCACTACTGGCGCCATCTAGCGATCATCACTTGTCTCGAGTCTCGGAAGGTTGAAGGCGAACTTCGCGCATGCGTAGATGTGAAACTCCTACTCCAGAACTCCTGTCATTCTACAAATCTGCAGTCTGCAGTTAATAAATAATGATAACATTGCAATCAAAGTGACGTGTGTGTTCACGGCGTGTGTGTACAATTTTTAACACGTTTACAAATAAGCACATAAGTAATATAATTCATTGCGCTTACACCCGTTGATTAATTGACCAACTAAAGTAATTCCTCCGCAGCTGCAAGATATACATGCATACATTGTTAATTTTGGTCAGACAGGAAAACAAATGCTTATAGGTTAATAACAAGCCGAAGTATTGAAAATTCCGAAATGACTACGAAACTGCGATTGTGAAAGTTTTGATAAGCAGAGGTAATTGCGTCATGTTACCCCAGGTGTAGTGAACATTTTACTGTTTGGGCATAACCATTGGTAATTGAAGACTGCGTTTTTTTAAGGTGTTTTCGTTGTTGACTTATTTTCAAGATTTTAGTATATCAGTATTAGATTTCGAACTCTTAAGTGTATAACAATAAGGTGACACACAATGGCCATGAATGAAGCAAGATTTGACGTAAGTTGTGAAATACTTGATGAATACAAATAAGCCGTGAAATAACCTTTCGCATGTTGCACTACAGATGTTTGACGATGGAATATCTGCAGTTGATCCCCAACACGTGCAGGGGGACATGACTGTAGGTCCAAATTTGAGGAGTCAAGCTAGCCTTGGAGAGCCAGACTTTAGCACGCTCGATGAACCCATAAAAGATACCATTGTATGACTCCCCATGCTTAATTTCTACTATCAATTATATATGGTTCTTACATTTTATTCATTTTCAGCTGAGGGACTTGAGAGCGGTAGGAAGAAAATTTTATCATGTTTTGTATCCTAAAGAAAAAAAAAGTTTGCTCAAAGAATGTATGTAATTTATTTTATGTAACATTAGACACACATTAGGTTAGCAATTGATTGATAATGTTTTTATAGGGGATCTTTGGGGACCTCTTGTACTTTGTACATTCATGGCAATGTAAGTTTTCATTTAAACGTTTTTTTCAGTTTATCTATGATTATATTTTTACTTTACTCGTTATTTTGTTTTAGGATTCTACAAGGATCTTCGGACACAGCAAACAGTTCCAATGATGGTGGTCCAGAGTTTGCTGAAGTTTTTGTAATTGTATGGATTGGCTCCATGGTGGTCACACTAAACAGTAAACTACTTGGTGGAAATATGTAAGTGGCACAGCGGGACATATCGTTTAAAAAACGAATTAAAGACATTAATGCTATGTTATGTTTATAGATCTTTCTTCCAAAGTGTGTGTGTTCTTGGATACTGTTTGCTACCCACAGCAATTGCACTAATCATATGTAGAATAATATTGATTGTTGAGCAGAACTTTATTTTATTCATTCTGAGGTTTATTATTGCTATGATTGGTTTTGTGTGGGCAACTTATGGTAATTATTCCTCTGATGATTTTCTAACTTCAAATTATGATAGATTCATTGCATTTATGTATTATTTCAGCATCAATGGCGTTTCTTGGAGATAGTCAACCATCTGGGAAAAAAGCCTTGGCTGTTTATCCTATTTTTTTGTTCTACTTTATAATATCGTGGCTAGTTATCTCTCATACAAAATAAAGTTTATAAAAAGGGATGACAGACTATAACAAGGATTAAGCACAAAACTCGAAAAATAATGGGTTTCAACAAAAAAGTCAACCAATCATGGTATTTGTAAATTGTCAAAAAGAAAAAAAAAGAAAAAAAAAATTGTAATGCATTTGTGTAAAAGAAAAAGAAGTGATGTTACGTTGTGCTTGTACGATTAGTTTGTGTAACGAGAGAATTTCCAAAATATTGTGATAATAAGGATTTTTCTACTTTCTTGCAAAAATCAACATTTCTCAGTATTGTATGTTTTTTTTTACCAACTTGTTAAAGAAAGATTCAATTGAATTAAAACCAGATAATGCACTTAATTACGTGAATACGTGTAAAAGTGCACTTGCCTTTGACGATCTGTAAATATGAATTCACAAGAACGGCGATAATGGGTGGAAATGTATGTTACATAAAAAAATAATATAAATATTTGTACAAAAGAATTATGTTTATTTACAATGTTTTGTTTTCATTATGACATGTATGTAAAGTACTGTTGTAATTTTTCCAAAAGTTCTTTGCTGTCGCGGTGGTCAGGATAAGCCTTCAGAGCTTTTTGTACCGATATGTAACTAGTCTGTAAGTCTCCAGTCTGAAACGTAAAGCGATCGACAAACGATAACTTAAACTGTATAGATATGAGCAATTGAAAACGAGATGGTAAAATAAAGTAAATCTTACGTTGTATGCCAGAAAGGAGCTATTGAAATGCGGCTCGTACATGTAGTTGGCAATATTCGCCGCAGCGTGAAAGTATGTGCGAGCCATCGCAACATTGCCACTTTTCATCTCCAGCACTCCGAGATTATTGTACGAGGGTGCGTGCTTGTTGTCAGCGTTGATAGCCAGTTTCAAGGAATCGGATGCCATCATTAGGTCTCCTAAGCACTTGTATGTAAAAAAAAAAAAAAAAAAAAAAAAAAAAAAAAAAAATAAATATCTATCGATTCTCGAAATGTTTGAATCAAAAGAAATTATAGCGATCGATTTTTGTATCCCGATACTTTAACTCACTATGGCCACGTGCGAGATGCTGTACCAAACGTCCGCAACGTTTTCGTCGGTGGCTAAACTCAGAGCCCTTTCGAAGCAAGATATCGTGAAATCGTACTGTTGGGCGTAAAAACAGCACATTCCCAAATTATTGAACAATTCAGCGTTGTAGACGCCCATCTGTAGCAGCCTCCTGTTGTCGAAACACACGTTTACTCTTGATCATCGCGTCAATAAATATAATATACATGCGGTGTCAATAGATAAAAAAAAAAAAAAAAAAAAAAATTAGAAATAAAAATCGTGAATAATTTTATAAACCGAAAAAGGGTCTTGATTTCGTACAACCCGCCCTATATCTGGAAACACCTGTAATATCGCAACGCGATCTCCGGCTGATCGTTGTAAAAGTTGTGCAACCCGATGGTGGCAATCGCTTCGACGTGGGACGCGTCCTCTTGAGCTATTGTCTTGTAATACTTGACGGACATGGCGACGTTGTGCATACCCTCGAAAATCCTCGCCATTTCCGTCAATATGGACACCTGTTGAAAAGTTTCGGATGAATGGAAATTATTATAATCGTAAAAAAAAAAAAAAAAAAAGAAAAATTCACCCACATCGTTGGGAAAGCACTCGAGCCCTTTTTTACATTGTTCGAGGGCGGCGAGTGGCTGGTCGAGTTTGATGAACACCCGGACGAGTCTGAGCACCACATCGATGGTCCTGCAATCGCGCAGGGCCGAGCGAAATTGCTGCTCCGCGTCCCGCGTAAGCCCGAGTAGGTAGTAACACTTGCCGAGTTGTACCTTCCACCACCAATCTTTGTACTGGCATGCTTGGGTCGCTTGCACGGCCAAGTCAAGGGCCTTCAAAGACAGATGTTTATTTATTTATTTATTTTTTTTTTAATGGACCCTCATTTCTGTATTTAATTTTTCTGGGTTTCATCAATCAAAGTGCTCAGCAATTGTTTTCTATAATTCGAGGGTTGTAGGGAAAATTGCACCTACAGATGATTATTTTTCTAATTTTTCTTCAATAATTATTGTTCATTTAAATAGCCGTAGCTAGTTTCTTCTTTGACTACATTTATTTTATCAACGACTACCATAGTACGTGCAATTTATTTTAGCAAATCAAAATACGTAAGTATTTTTTGAAAAGAAACAACTATATAGCCTTGATGTATAAAAAATTGCATACTTGAACATTTTTTATAACAAATGGTTAGTCTTGTTTTCTTGTACGAATCATGTATTGCTTGTTAAAAATCAAAATTCACAAACTTAAACAATAATATATAAAAAAAAAAGTCGTTTTGATCTAACAAGTATACTGTATCCAGTAAATATTGTCGCCAAGTGTCAATTAATATCTTGTGATCGGTAAGAAATAAACTAATTGTTTGCTGTTTTTTTTTTTTTTTCATACAGCTTACCTATCTGCAATAAATATTCGACGTACAATATTAACAAAAAAAAAAAAAAAAA